CAATGGGACCGTTTAGACTTATTTCAAGAACTGTTGCTTTATTTTCTCATTCCAAGAGACATTTATTGTATTTCTTTAGTTGCCGGTCCCATTGGAAAAAGATGCTTAAAGGCATTCAAAATGTGCTAATATTTAGATACACTTTACCAAATTTGAGCGATTCATGGCTTGTTTTCATTACTTTTTGCAATTTCCCAGTCTAGAAGGAAAATTGTAATTCAAGAGTCCAAACTGGAAAAGGGCTGTTTATTTATTGATCTTCACAGGAGCTGGAAACTGTTTTAGAAAAAAGACAATAACCAATTTATGTACATTGTGAAGATAGTACATTGTATAAAATAAAAATTATAGATAAACAATATATCGAAGTGTGAAGATGGTGTGAAAGTGTTGTGTGACATTGACCAACATGACGCAAAAAGTGTCATGGTGTGGATTTTGTTATTTTGGACTTTGATTTTATTCTGTAATCTGTTTCCCCTGTCTTGTTTGCCCCGCCCTAATGTTTCACCTGTGTCTCTTTGTCTATTGACCAGATGCATCAACGTGATCCAGTCACGTGATTGTGAATGAGCTTACGGCGGAAGTATTGGAAACTAGCATTGCTGCGAGAGCAAAACCGACTACAACTCTTAAAAACGGAGCTTCCTCTCCTAAATCGAGAAGTGGCTGCTTCAAGCAATGTTCGATTACGTTATAGGTGGAAGTAGGACATCAGGTCAGGGCTCACAAAGAGTGGTATTTGGAGAAGTTAAGGATCTCCTAACTGGATGTTGACCCGTACCTTCTCCACCCAGTCAATTTTATCGATTAAATAAAATGTCTATATTTGCCCGAATTCAACCTACTGTACATGATCTTTATCATTATCGTTAACAATGCATCCCCTTACACTGGAGCAGATTTATATGTACATTTTGCTGGTAGCATTAGCAATAGTCCACTTTTCTGTGGCTTTTCTGTCTACAGCCAAACATGATACGTACTGACGTGAAACACGCAATTGATTTAAAAGATAAAAATGTCCAATGTTGCAGCGCACATACAGGACAGTAGTAAGTGACACGTTTGACGTGTGTCATTGTCCTCCAAATTAATGGAAATAAAATAAATACAAACTTGTGATTGCTTTATCTTGTAAAAAGTGTTCACTGCATATTAGGGAGTACTTGGATGGATCCCAGTCCTTTTGGTTGATTGCCGCTGGCCATCGTCGTCTTCTGTGTTCATGACGTGCAGGTATCAGATAAAAAAGCTTATGTCCTTGCCTGTTAGTATGATCAACCGCACTGCAAAATGTCACAGTTTTGGCTGTAATGCGCTGAAACAGGTTGTTTTGGTCAGGTGTCCGTAGGCTCGCAGGTAGACTTCTGCCGTCTGTCATGGAGAGTGGGCGTGGCAGGGACGTCACATGCAAGGGGTCAATATGTACCCTGTGCTTCTCTCCTCTTGTTGCTGGTCCATTGTCTTGTCCATGTCTGTTTTGTTCCTGTTTCCTGGATTTTGAGTTTTAACCTGGACTTTTATTTTAATAAATCATTTTCGGCATTCCTGCATTTTGAGTCCTCGGCTGAGAGGTCGACAGTGACGTTCTGATTCGGATGGTTTTCGACTGCCTGGATTTCCCCACCTGTGTCTGCTTAATACCCTTTGATGACCTCTCCTTCCCTCCACCCGTTGCCACCGCCAGATATGGATCTCCGTCTGGGGTGGTTCTGTTCCTGTTCCTGAGTCACTGCCGGACATTCGTCTTCGTTCGGGGTGAGCCAGACCTTTTGTGGAAGGTCTGCATGGGTTCCAGTTCCTGTCCTCGATTCTGGCCTGTGGTTGTTCAGACCTCTGGACTCCATCTCGCCACGTGACAAAAAGGGCAGGGGTTGATGGTTTGTGCGAGGTTTAAATGTGTTTAGCTGCATGAATAAATTGAAATACATGAGCTTTAAAAGGCTTTGTAGACTTATAACAATCAAAAAATGACCTCTTTGGGTTTGGATTTCTGCCGCACACAAAATCAAAAACACATTGGACGTATTTGAATTTACATGAGCCTCTGGTTGACCATTTCCTCTTAGGGATTCCAACACCCACATCCCTTCTCAATAGAATGTGCTTTTTTCCCCTGCTATCGCTTCTTTGACCTTTTTGACTGCAAAAATTCTGGCTCTGATCCAACCACTGCGCCGCAAGCATGAGTTTTTTTTAGCGATGCAGTTGTATGTCTTCCGCCTTACTTACTACATGTTATAGCTGGAGGCGCTGAATTTGTAATGCCTTTGATTTTTGCTGAAAGAAAATGTTTTATTATGACTCTCATTATGCAAGAATAACCAACCGCCCGATAGCACAGTCTGAAAACGCAGATAAATTCCATGCAGGACTCGAGGAGGTGCAAAAGGTAAAGCGTGGGAGAATTCTTAAATTGAATGCATTTTTTTTTGTTTTTTATAAATTTTGTCTCTGTGTAATCCCTCATGCTTTATTTACATCCAGAAACATGGATCCGCTGACATGTCGGAGGCTCATACTGTACATTACATGTCTATTTGTGACTCCACTAACCCTGCATTGCTCTATAGACAAGCATATATGCAAATGAAAAGTGAAAAGAAAGAAAAATAGAAATTATGAGAGGAATTAGACACCATCATGATTGAAAAAGTGCTTGCATTGGAATACTTCTTCGTCTTCTTCAAGGGTCGTGACAGCTTCCATTCGTAGTAGTACATTCGGTGACAGCAGTCATTGTCGGCAATCGCAAAAGGCAAATTACAACAGTTTAAATTCACATTACCCCGCTTACACCCTCACAAATAGCAAGTCCAGATATCAACTAAATTACAGCTAATAGCTTATATTAAAACGACAGTGTGTTGGTTAAGGATTTATTAGATCAGAGGGTTTTGTAGTAAGATTTGAACCCCTTTATGTTCATTCCTAGAAGAAAGCAATTTAAAAAGTGTTTTCATTTTCTAAGATGTAGGAGCAGTTAGTTTATGATCCCCCTAGATTTAATTATTGGCTTCTACAAAAAGGTTGAGATGCAGCTTGATGGTAAACGATGGTAAAATGGTTCCAAGCATGCTTCAAGTAGATAGTGACGCAAAAAGTGATCCACCAATGGTAAAGGAAACTAGATTATGAACATCTTTGGGAATTGTGAATGATATGTTTCATTTGGCAAGGGTTAATAGTTTACCTCAATACAAACCAATAGATTTAAAAAGCCTTTCTTAGTACTCTCTTGCACTTATTATGGTTATTTGTATCTAATATGAGGCTTTGATATAATCTGATTCATCTTTATATGTGTAAGACAATAGCATTTCTCACATAACAATGGATAGTCGCCATAATCTGTGCAATCATGCAAGCACACAGCGTACATGGAGTAGTATTTTGTTGTCAAAGAGCTTAGTTCTGTTGAATATATTCTGTCAATGTGTTATATGGTACTATATCAACTTAGTATACAATAAATAGATTTTGGTTGTGGTAACGCATTCTCCTATGAGCGCTGTAATCCAGTTTTAAATCGAGATTACATCACCATCTGGCGTCTGCTTGCCTTCACAAGAATCTGAAACCTTTGGATTAGACTTCCAAGAAAAAAAAAAAAACAAAAATCCCAGAAAATTATTTTGTTTGTCCGATTTGTTTCAAAGTTACTCGGATTTCTAAAAACACAATTTGCGTTAATTGCGTTGTTGTTACTGTGCATGTGTCAACAAAAGATGATATAAGAGGCGGGTTGTCATAGAAACCACATTCAATACTTACAGCTGTTTCCTGACGACGCAGGACGCAGGACGAGAAGATTTCGTCATTATTCTTTGAAAATAAAAAAAAGTTAAATCTCAGAAAATGTTTTTTTTTTGTGTTTAGATTACTAGAGCTTTTATTTGAAGGATTGCAAAGTACAGTTTATGGTTTTTAGCGCTTATTCCGTCTCATTCAATCATGCTCACACTTCAACACAAACACTCTTTCTTTCATCTCAAATATAAAAGTTTTCCTTTCACCCTTTTCCATGTTTAAATGTTCATTGCACATGATCCATCAAGCATTCGAACATATAGTGAGAGATGAATACACGTTCAAACTATTAGTTATATATTTTATGAGAAAAATGGCTTCAGGCTTCTCAAAAAAACAAAACAGGGAGCACTTCTTGAGATCATGGCGAGAAAGTAGCAAGTATAATAAAATCATCTTATAGGCAACATATGGAGATCACAAAGAAATAGGCTGCAGTAATCGTCACAGTGAAGGAAAAGCAACTTTGGGTTTCGGTTATTGCATGTGCATCCAAGCAGTCACTATTGGTCTGAGAGCAGCTAGAAAATCCAATTTTAAAGGGATTTATATCATGGGTAGTTCATGCTGTACTGTTCGAGTGGTACAATACAGTCAGTGGGGCAAGTGTACAAGAATATTTCATCTCCTTGTTGTTGCTGCAAAATGGATGGCTCTATAAATAAGTTGGTGTATGTCACACATAAGCCCCTTTCACATATGCACAGGTCTGAACAAGGTCTATATACAGTATGTCAGCATTAGCAATTTCTATTTTCTTTGAGGGTAGAAAACATAGCCAGCAAGATTGACAAACTCAAATGTTATTGCTGGAAACAACAAGCAATCTAGTTTGTAAGAAGATGAAATTGGATAGATGCGAACGGATGAAAGACCCTACTCATGGGAAGTCCTATCCAAATGACTATATCTGTGCGGCCCGGTTATGGAAACAATCACAATCGTATTATACTAAAGACTTATAATAATTCATCTCTTTAAAATCGTATGTAGATTATAGAAGCGCTTTATCTCCAGATTATGCGGGGTAGAACATGCAAATATCCTCAACAGAAGGTACAATTGTGTAGCTAGAAATACAACAGAACTTTTCTATAAGCCAAGCTACATCAGCTTCTCTAGATGTGCACAAATGAAAGGGGCCAAAGCGTGATGGAAGTAGCGGATATTGTTTCAGTCAGTGGAGTTCAGAAGGCTGCTGGTGGCAGAGTATGGTTGTTGTTTCCTTTCTCCAGCAGGCCCAGGGACTCCAGTGCATGTGGCCCGTCCTTCTCCAGGTGCAGTCCAGGTGGAGCCGAGTCCTCCGCGCCCATCTCTCCACCTAACCATCGCCCCGGGTCCCCTCCCCCGTCTGCAGAGGCAGCTGCGGCGGCTGCGGCTGCACACTCCTCCTTGAACAGTCTGTTGTGCTCCATCTTGAGCTCCTGGTACGAGCGCGAGAACATGTGGAAGATGGAAGTAGCCGGGAAGGCCATGATTAGGATCCCGCTGAGGATGCTGCTCAGAGCCACCACCTGCCCCGGAATGGACCTGGGTACCATGTCGCCATAGCCCACGGTCGTCATGGAGATGATAGCCCACCAGTAGGACGCCGGGATGCTGCTAAAGTCATGCGTCCCGGTTAACTCGCTTTCGGCTAAGTGGACCAGCGGGGAGAAGAGAGTGACAGCCACGCAGAGGAAAAGCAGCAGCAACCCGAACTCCCGGGTGCTCCGCCTGACCGTCAGCCCCAGAGTCTGAAGGCCGAGGGAGTGACGCGCCAACCGCATCACGTACAAGATCCGCAGCGCACGCAGGATCCGTAGCACCAGCCCTAACTTATCCAGGTACCCCCTCCCACCGGGTTTGTCAGGATCCGATCCAGGCTCCTTCTCCGACACCACCAGCGAGACGTAATAGGGCAGTATGGCCATGGCGTCGATGATGTTCAAGGGCCCGCGCAGGAAGCCGAGTTTGCTGGGGGCCTGGATGAAACGCAGCAAGAACTCCAGGGAGAACCAGGCCACACACACAGTCTCAATGATGAACATGTTGAAGCACTTGGTGGAGCACTCGCCCTGGGGAAGAGAAGCAAAAAGGGATAAGTTAAGGACAGTTGCAAATGAAAGAAGAGGAAGTTTGACACGGAGAAAGACAAATGAGCAAAGAGTGGATGGGGCGAGACAGGGAGATGACAAAAACACAGCTCAGATTATCACCTTTGGTAATTAAAAATACATGAGTTACAGTCATCGGGTATGTGAGAACCACTGGAGCTGGACGGATAGATAAAACAGTGGCGCGATCAATCAGTGATTTCATTAGGCAGGGCTTTAAAGATTAAGCTGACATCAGAAGGGCAGCTGACAGAGGGTGTTCAGTAAGTGCTGGGAAAGGGAGAGCATCGCATGATGAACAACATAAGTGGTGTCAAGTTGTACATCTACTGTGCTGACCTGTCAAGTTGAATGCTTGACTGCGTCCTCCATCACTGCCTGTATTAAGGGTTACTCAAGGATCTTAGAGGTGACCAAGTTTTTGAACCTACAGATAACTCATGAACACAGTATACTACTAAGAATGTAGACACTGGAGGTATTATGTCTCTCAGCTGCTGGAGGAACATTACAACATGTATCTTTATGCTAATCATTTAATTGTGTTGACCAAGGCTTAAATAAACTGTTATCCATTTTTGGTGGCCGAGTTTTTCAGTGGAACAGACAAATGGTGGAGCCCTGGGACTTTTTTCCTGAAATGTGGTGATGTTTGGTATTTGGGTGAGCAGAATGAGAATTGGAATCAAAATTATTTTTTGTATTGCTATTATGGGAAACAGGAAGTCAGAAAGTAGTTATTTTCTTCAGGTGCAAACAAGTCATAACTAAATGCTAAAGAGAAAGGGCAAGATAAAAAATAAAAATAAAAATTTTGAAATCTGAAACAGTTGAAATATCTGAAGCGATTTGTGAAGCTAGCAATCAAGCTAATCGATCGCACAGTAATTTTATGGGACTTGTTACTGACCCTATTTGTTAACTTTGAAGTATTTTTTCTTTAGAAATTCAGAATGGTTTTGTCCAGTCCCAGATGAACCAGACATCAATCTTAAGTAGTGTATGATTTATTAAAAGGGGTTGCACAAATAAACGCTAAACAATAAACGCATAATATTACACACACATACTTACACACACACTCTTTGATCCCCCCATATTCTTTTAGTTAACCCTTATATGATTGCGAAAAGATGAGATTGGGATTTTCCGATCGTTATTATTGGCACAGCCCTACCAACAAGTGGGAAAGCACCCTAAACATCAAACATGTGAGGGAGAGCGTCATCATTGCCGTTAATAAAAAGTTATTTATTTCCCTCATATTCACGCACACGCAGACTACACTCTGGAAAATGAGCAAATCAGTTTGACTGTCACTTTCAGTCACTGCATAATGAAAGAATCCACCTCATCACATGGCTGCATTGATAACATTCACATTATTTCTCCCATCATCTCTTCACTCCGCGCCTCATCTATTTCCTGTCTGCTTCCTCCTTCCTTCCTCCTCCTCATCACTCATCCTCTGTGCCGCTCCCTGTGACTTCCGCCCACTCATCCTTCACCCCTGCGTCCCAACACTTCTCCATTTCTGCTCCATCCATTCCGGTTAAGTGAAACACAACTCCCCGCGTGGTTTTCTCTACGCGTGATCCGTGTAACAGGCGGCGTCACAGTGATTGTCATTCATCACGTGTGTCCTGTGTGGGACCAGCTGCTGTTACCATTTTTTCAAAAAGATACAGGTGTGTGAAGTATTGCCGACTTTCTCTTTCATTCTACCAGCAGGTACATGGTGATTTAAAGGTGTTCTGTGAGCAGAGGAAAAGGGCTGCAGGTAGTGGGTTTAATTTGGTTTTTATATGGACACAATATATGGTCTTTTTACTTCACATGCCCAGATATCTTCTTAATGTTTATAGTTCCATTGCATCACAGACAGGGTGTAGCGAGCAGGCAAAGTCAAGGCATTTTAAGACCAATAGAGTTTTTCCAATAAAATGTAGAAGTAAATAATTACTGTTTTATTTGTTTATTTGAATGGGACAATGCACGCTAAACAAACTGTGTCCGTGACAATATGCCAGATTGAAAGAGAAAACTTTGCACATCCGACGGTGACAGGTGCGTAAGAGCCGGCTCCAAACACAGCTTTGCCAACTTGAAAAGGAAGAAAATGGCTCATGCAAACTGTAATTGCATTCACCAGTGTTTACAAATTTTGTTTACTGATGTGCAACGTTTCGGCCGCGGGCCTTCATCCGGCAAATGGTCATTTTCTTCCTTTTCAATATTCCAGATTTCACCATGAAGGCTTGTTTCCATCTGTAGTCCCTTGGCAGGTTGATATTACAGCCATCAACAAATAAAGAAACAGAGCAACAGTTATGAAAAAAGAAAATAGCGTGGGAAGATTAGAAAGACTTTTTTGAGCTTGTTTGATTTTCAGCACAACACGCTCTAATGAGAATAGCTTTGCATTGCTAATAAAGGCCAGTGTCAGATGGTGGTGTGCAATGGGATTGTTTTCAATTTTTATTTTTTATTTATTTCTATTCAAGGAGTCATTGTTCAATATTCCATCTAGTTTAAGCAAGATGAAAATAACATCAATAAAGTCCTATTTTAAAAAGTATTTAAGAGAATGGTAGAGGAATGTGTTTTCCCTCAATCCAATAGCAGATAATGGCTTTGTGCTTCAGTGAAGTGTATTTGACAAACTGAGGTTCAGTGCCACAGCAGCGGCCCACTCAGCCAACGTGATGGCCTCTTTCAAACGGGTGAGATTTCTCTGAGGACCGCCTCAGGGAAATGTATTCTCCAGCAGGAGCTGTTCACAAAAATACATTTATTGTTTATAGTTTTTTTACCGCCCTGAGAATCATCCCTCCTCGAGGATTCACCTTTCTAAATGGTGCTTTGCACTGATCCATGAGAATTAAATGCAATCTTGTCTTCACTCCAATGATGAGTGAAGAGTAAAACTAAACTAAAACTCTGGAGCAATGGGGAAAAGACATGAAGACATTCCACAGGAGAAGATAGTTTTGCTTTGGCTGAAGAGAACCAAAGTCAAATTAAATTTACAAATGTAACAAATAAACACATTTATGATTAACTCTACTAAATCTACTTATTATGTTATAATTATCAATTGTCATTCTGCTCCAAAGCATTAAAGAATGTCCTGAGTGATCTGTGGCAGAGAACTAAAAGTAGCTGTAAGATGTAGTCATCTGGATTTATCAGCCTCGAGGCCTTTGACCCCCAGTCAGAGGACATTTTATATCCAGATACGAATCGATTGAAGATGCATTTGTATATGAGGCCTATAATTATTCAAGTGGGTTCTATAGGTTATTTTCTAATACAGATACAATTCTATTTATTTTTGTAGCGACTAACATTAAACTAGGGACTGGTCCACAGGTCTAGAGAGTGTAGTTTTGGGTCCCATCTTTGCATCCATGAAAAAAGGACAACAACAAAAAAACATTGGACATGTTGATTGATCAAAATTGGACATTAAGAAAATAAATAAACAATCTACAGAGGTTTTGTAGACTTAAATCTCCCCTGGCATTATCACTCTTTCACATTCTGCTGGTTTCTCCCTCAGAGCAGCCACTCCAGCCCTCGGTCTGACTTTAGACCCTCATGGGGCTTAACAACATCCTCCTCAAGCCGCGTGTGATGCTCCATTTGTTACACAAGCTCTGCACTTGCTTCTTCAGTGACACATGAGCCGCAGCCAGAAAGAGTCCGGACCTCCCTGACCTCATCCTTATCACTATCTCTTTGCTCCAAGGTCCTGTTGCAATATTAGCTTTAACCAGCTCAAAGAGTGCGTTTACGATGCAATATACTAAAATAATTGATGATTTATTGTCAAACCGGTCTGACCACATTTGTCCCCTTTTCCATGCGACCCGCTTTATCTTAAGAACTCAAACATTTCTAACATGAGCAAGGCCTTCACTCTTAAATGCATCTGCTTGCCTTGTCTCAGTTGGATTAAGTTTACGTGGATACACACATCACCGTCTGTGGAATGATTGGAAAAATATCTGAACTCGGAACATTGTAAAGCGCTTTGGGTGACCTTGGTCTGTAAAATGGGCTATATAAATAAACATTACTTACTTCCTACTTACTAACATACCAGCATAAAGAGAGTAGAAATGGTTTGAACTAGTTTCCTGAATAAAAGACCTCTCTTACAATCCAGTCCAGGCGAATGATCTGGTTTTGAATTTATAAAAAGTGTTGAAGGTAAAGTTGTTCATGTATAATTATTGCAAAGTGGACTTTAAAGCTGCACTAACTGACTTTATTTTCGTATTAATTACGAAAATGCTATCCATGTCCATGTAGTGCATTGGGATATACGTCCTTTTGAAGAAAAAGTAGCGCAGATTTGTGCTGGCCTGACATTATATTTTCGATCGAGTTTTGATGAAACAAGGAAGAGAATGTGTTTCGGGTCGCAGATTGTGACCAATCACAGCGCACCACTAGCCCCCACTTTCGTGAGAAATCTCCAGGTCCGTTAGCACAGACAGCTGAGTTAGCACAACAAGCCGAGGAGTTAACCTGAAACTTTCTCGTCTTCGTCACCGGGTACTGCTTACACAGCGAAACAGCCATCCAAAAGAAAGTCTCGTTCCTCCGCGCTTCCCGGTTCTATCGTTCTATGGTCACGCCATCCACGTGAAAATCCATATCCATGTATTATCCATATTGGGAGAGGCTAGCTCCGTCCCAACACTGTGTGTGTGTAGGGGCGATAGCTTCGTGGGTGCGGGGAGGGGAGCAGAAAGAGCGAGGCCAGCGAGTCCGCGGCTTCAAAATCCCAAAGTCAGTTAGTGCAGCTTTAATAGATGTTTTAGGCAGAGATTCCTGTAGTGATTGGTGTCAAAGGTACAACTTTAGTTTTAGCAATTTTTAGTATTAGATAGCAATATGGCCTACGTGCAGAACTCAACAAGGACTCTGATTATTTTGACTATGATGTGACT